AGTTTCCTTTAATGGTTTCGAATGTTTTTCAATTTGAAAATGATTAGAATAGATCAACAATCATTTGCTACTTCAAATTTTCCAAGTGTTAATATTTATACAGAATAAATAGAAATTGATGAAACATTTCTAATAGAACTTAAAATCACTGACTAAACCAACAGAGTATCTACTTAATTTCTACTATCTTAAATTAACAAATACAAATAATAATTATGATCAATAAAAAGTAATTCAATATCATAAACAAATTGTACCCATTTCAATCTATCTTATCACCAATGAATATTATCAACGGTAAAGTTAATTCGTATGCATATTTGACAAGTTATCCATGATGTTTATTAGATATTTGTGAATAAACGGGGACACAGTTTAAAATAGAAAGGTAATAGGAAAGCACGAGATGCTCTCGCTTTTCTAGTCAAACGTTTATTAGATGACGATACTGAAAGAAGAAGAAGAAGAAGAAGAAGAAGCAACGAGGAGCTCGTACGAAAGGCGAAGTAAAACGTATATTTAACGGTAGTCAGGTACCGTACCGAGGATTGTAATCTTATACGTTTAAAGTGCCGGGTATCGGGTGTTGCTATTTCACAGCCAGTAATATTAATGACGAGCGAGCACGGTTTTCGAACGATTCTCGATACTCAACTAAGGAGACGACGCTGTTGCTGTTGCTGTWGCTGCTGCTACTCGTGGAAAGAGTCTTTTTCGAACAGATACGAGGAAGTAAATCTTTCCAGTTACTAGTTTGAGACTTAACGTTCTTTTGCTATCGTGTTATGTATGAAACAGGAAAAAGTAATCATGATTCTTGGCGACATAGAAAACGTTCATAGATAAACCCTAGAAGAATTATTTTAATATGTATAAATTACGTCACGTCATCGTCTTTGTCCGCAATGGATTCCTAAACTATTGAACCGATTTGAATAAAATTGTACACACTGTGTGCAGTTTTATCCAACTTGAAAGATAGGATAGTTAATATCTCAATTTATAATCGTAATAAAATATAAAACAATCTTTTATTTACCGAAAATAAATAAAGCAACACGTGGCGGAATATACCCCTAGTTTTATATAATAATTTATCAAGTTTCATTTTATTCAAATATTCTATTTCTTCCTAACGTTGCTATAAGAAATTCAATTTAATTTAATCACTTATTGTCGTAATATTAAATGTAATTTTAAATATAATCGTGACCAAAATTGTATGCGACTGTTTTATAAAAGATAGTTTATCTATGTCAATGAAAATTGAAAACAATCTTTCAGATTATCCATGCACCCAAACGTTATAATCATGAGTACGTATTATGCGTTATTCTAATCTGCGTTTAGGATAAATTGGACACACTTTATATTGAAAATTTCAATAAACTATATAATAAATAATAGCGATATCGGAAGTCACGCGGAATAATCCTTGCTGTCTCCTTCGAAGGAATCGATCGGGCGAATCGCATTTAAACGCCACGCTTCGATGAAGAATCCTTTCTTCAACATTCAACGCTTCGAATACTTGCTACACGTAACTATCTCGTTCAATTGTTCGACATGCAAACGTTATCTCCTTAACCCATAATAAATAAGTTTGATGCTAATAACGATCCTGAGAGAGAGAGAGAGAGAGAGAGAGAGGGAAAGTTTTCACTTTGCATTTATTTTTCTAAAATTAAAAGCAGACTTCTAAAAGTTAACGAATATTTTATAATAAAAAAAAAAAAAAGAGCAAGTAGAAACTTTGATGTGCTAAGGAAATTGATTGAAATCACTAAATAATTGTTAAACAAAATTATAATAAATTTTTAACGGGAATGGTGACGAATTTTCGAATGGATCGCGTGCAAAAGCGTTCGACCCTAATATTTAACTTATAATAAGTAAATAAGTAAGTAAAGTAGTATTCGAAGCATGAGTCAAAGCCGGAAGAGTTCATGTACCTATTGCTGCAACAAAAGAGGAGGATTTCCCACCTCCGACAAAATCGCCTCCGCGATTTTGTGGGTCGTCGTGCTAAGCCTAAGGATTGTGCATTGGAAGAAGAAGAAGAAGAAGAAAAAAAAAAAAAGGGCGTTTGCACACGGCATTATGCATTTGCGTAATAACGATCGTTAAAACGTACGTACGTACATATGTGAGTACTTACATAGTTATGTATACTAAGTACGATCGAGAATCACGAAGATAACGATGCCAATAACGATGCGATGCAATGCAACAACAATCAATGTTGTGAGAGTTCAATGCAAGACTATGAAGCATCCTACATTCAACTGTAAAATATTAAGCAATCGATGTATAAACCCAACGTGTGTGTGTGTGTCTTAGAAAATAATGATGACGTACTGCTACGCGTATGAATATTTTTTTATTTTTTTTGTATTATTTTAACTTTCCTATTCGTATGAGATTTTCTATTTATCCACGTTTGTTGCGTGAGTGTCGACGGAAAACACATTTAACATAATTGTCAATATCTGTAAAAACACTTGTATAAATTTGATTGATATCACTTACTACTTGTTTAATATTGTTTAAACATTCATATTGCAATCCGATTTTCGTTATTACACTGAGTATACTTTTTATCTAAATTGTTTTCGTATTATTTTCATATATTTAATATTGTAAATCTAACACGCGTGTAATCGTCTTATATCCATTGAAATATTTTTAATCAATAATTTTCAAATAAAAAAAAAATCTACTTAAACATAACGGTGTGTAGAATTTTAAAGGGACACTTCGATGTATATAGCAGAATGTTTATAAGATAGTGAGAGTAGTTGACCAAGTGGTCTTTCGATTGCGGTGGCGGCAATGTAAAACCATCATTACCGCCAATTACAATAAATCCCGTACCGTATTCCTCTTATCTTTTTCCGCGCGTACGCTCAAGGTGCGGCTTAATCTATAATCCGAAGCGAAGGTAACGGAGCGTGGTTCCCCTCCCGCCCCCCCCCCATATGTGTATGTGTATATGTATGTTACTTTAAAAGACACTAATACATTTATGAAAAAGTATCAAAGAGACAGAAAGAGAAAGAACATTAGAAACAGTGAGAAGAAGAAATTTATATATGTGTATGTATGTGTGTGTATTTGTATGTGAAAGAGGAAGAGACAGTGGGAGAGAAAAGAAAATGAAAGAGAGTAGGCATGGTCAGTCAGCACAACAGTTACCAGAGTAATCATTTTCCATAGGTAGACTTTCACGACTGATGATCGGGTAGCGTTTCAACAACTATCGGCACCAAACCATGTCTAGTGGTAAAAAGATTAACAGGATGAGAGGGCATGCGTAGACATAGTATAGTGCGTATAGAGAACATTCTTTTGATCCTCTTGAACACACGTCTTCTTAATACCCAATCTCTAAGTACGTTCAATCCAGAGTAAAAGTTTGAATTAACTCTACCTACTCCCCTACGTTCATTTCGTTTCCCTTCTCTCTCTCTCTCTCTCTCTCTCTCGTCTAACACTTCTTTACACATTACCAAGTACCGTAGTTAATGTATTTTGATTTGTATGTGTATATGTGTATGTGTGTACCTATCTACTTATCGTTTAACGAAATTTCCCGCGGCAACTAGTCGTGTAAAGACAAGTGGAATGAACGCACCCTCTCTTTCTCTTTTTCTCTCTCTCTCTCTCTCTCTTTCTTTCGTTTTCTTTTTCTTTTTCTTTCTCTTTCTCTTTCTCTATCTCTTTCCTCTTTCTTCTCAACTTCCGCGTTTTCACGCGCTCTCGAACGTTATCCATCAAAGCGCATGCAAACGTTGTACTTTAATGCGCTCGTTTAACATCGCTTCACGAGCTGGTACCTTCCAAGATAAAAGCTTTCAGATTATAAGAACAAACGTATAAATTTAGATACCGATACTATGTCCTTTCACTATGATATTAACTCATATTATCTTACCATGAGTTAATAAATACTAGGGAGACACTAAACTAATCTTTGATCATTGTTACGACAATTCTTTCTGTTTGAATAAATGTGAATTTAATTATTAATATTTATCATCTTAGATGAGACAAACTTGTGAGTTTTATAGATAGATTAGAAGGTAAACGTTTGAAGATTTGAAACTAATTTCTATGTGATCTTAGTTGCCAATACACACGACGAACAACTATCATAAGACATAAATACACATTTACACACAATGATTCTTTAATACTCAAAACTTACTTATACACACGTACTTATATATATATGTATGCATTTACATACACAAACCATGGACCAGATAGATCACGTCTGATATAATTAATGAGCACCAGCCGCAATTCCCATACACACCTCCGGCATCGTGGGTCCGCCCTAACAAGTACCTCCGAAGAACTTGCTCTAACCTAAACGAACTCGCCAACGATCAAACACTGTTTATTCTCTTCTTCTTCTTCTTCTTCTTCTTCTTCGTGAAGGTATGTATATAGTAAGTATATCTAGGTGAACGAGGTCACGCTTTTATTATTCGTCAGACATTCAATAACTTTACATTTACGTCATTCATTTCTATTTGGTATACACACGCTATGATTTATGTAAAAAAAAAAAAATAAAAATAATATAATTACAAATTCGTTTATACCGATCAATTATATTTATTACGTTGAACCTATCAGGATAAAAAGAATAAATGGTAGAGCCATTTTTTGTATAAGACAAGATTCGATTTGATAAAAAAGAGACAAATTAACGGCGATTTCGGACGCGTTTTACGCCCACGTTCTCGATCGACACGAAACATCGACGATCGACGAAAAAAAAAACAAAATAACAGTCGGATTTAAAACATCGTACCTCTGTTAAGATCGTTATAAATTAACCGATAACGATATACACTCTTTTATATCTTCTCCCTTCGTTACGTCGTGTAAGTTTTTTTCAACAAGTAACACACACTCTCTCACGGATACTAAAAAAAAAGTCTTTTCAAAATAATTCCGAGTGTGAAATAAAAGAGAAAGACAAGACTCACCGCTGGGAGAGGTAAAATCAAAGGAATTTCAGGATCATTCGATGCTTCCTCTTCTTCTTCTTCTTCTTTTTCTTCTTGTTTTTCCTCAAAATGAATTTTCTCGTCATTCTGTTGCACAACAGTTGTCGTAGCATTTAAATCTACACATTGTAACACTTCCGACACTTCAGCGATAAGAGTATCGCTCGAATCACACTTGTCCAAATTAGTATTTTCATTAGATAAATTAACGATAGTCACTGTATCGATCACCTCTTCGTATTCATTTCTACAAGTTTGTTGTTCATCGGATTCACATTGTTTAGTTGATACATCAATACCGTTGTTTTCATTAACGCATATTCTGTTTTCACATTCATGATTAACACTCGAATCTTTTTCCGATGTTTTCGCGAGAACATCTGCAATAATTTCGTTGGAAGTGGTCCCTTCTGGATCATTTTGTTGTTGGTTAAATCTTTCCTCGGATAATTCGGTATACTTTTCGAAATAATCATCGTTATCTTCACGACGACGGCGAGTCGTCAACGGTGATTGAGTTTCATCGAAATACCAAGACGTACAATTCTCTTGACGTTTCTTTTCATTGACACTTTCGTCACCCTTGGAAAGAGCACCCTTACATTTGCGAAGGTAACTCTTAACTCTCTTAGTTTTACTCTTCCTAGTCTCTTGACTACGCGGTAGATTAATATCCGTGTTATCTGAAGTATCTAAAGGTATAGATTCTTGAGTTTTATAAGAGACTTTGTCCAATTCTTGATGAACCTTTGATTTCTCATCGATAATTTCATCCAAGGATGCTGTTGATGTTTCTTGTTGATCATTCGGTAGTGTCCAGATTTCTTCTTTTTCGGGTAACCGACGATCAGCCGGTATCACCTGAAAAAAGAAAACAAATATATTAGTCTAAGTTCTAATAATATTATACTATCGTAGATGAATATGAAATTAAATGGAACAAAGAAAGTTACGAAGAAACAACAACGAGATTGGATTCTCTTGCATGACCTTATGCAACAACGAACGTTTCTCTCAGAACGTTTTACGCGAAGGCGTGGCTTACAACTGTATCAAGCTAGTAGTGTCCAGTAAGGTCCACTGATGCATAAAACAAAAGGGCTTATAGTAAATATTGGCAACTACGGTGGGCAGCAATACCTAAGGCGCCAAAGCTAATGTCAACCAAGACGAGTAAAAGGCATTACGATGATATTTTACAACGCGATTTAAACAGCCCAGTTTCCAGTCACCCAGGGATCATAAGCTAAACGTTGAATACAATTTTCATCCAGTAATATCAACGATATTTCATAATCCTCTTCCTAGACTTCCTGTTTCTCTTGTCATACTTGAACAACTTATGTTATATTTCTCGATGAATAATAGACAATGAAACGTCTCTAAGTAAGTAAGTTTATTTTTCATCAATATATTGTTAAATAAATTGTCATTCTGTTTGATTTTTTCTTTTGTATGCAATATAAATTCTACGCTCATATGTTATTCTCTATCAATAACTAATAATAATTAAACTTAAAAAATTGTACTAATTGTAAAAATAAAAAAGAAGGGGTAAAGAATAACGAGCATCTTCGGATAATTATTAACAGATAAGAAGATTGGTTTTACGTTCCTCTGTGAGTAACTATCCAACCCCTATTTTTTTCCTATTCTTCTCTTATCTGAAACAACATCGATTAAGAACAGAAAGAGATATGCAACGTATGTGGTAATGTGCACCCACGGAAATAGAAAAGGAGTAGCCAGTTTCTTCCTCAATAAGTCGCCAAGAAGTCGAGTTCTAGAGAAAAGATAGAATGAGAATGAGAAAGAGAAAGAGAGTGAGTGAGTGAGGTACTCTCGTGTGAATTTTTTTTTTTTTGTAAGAGACCACGAGAGAGCACCAGAGAAGATAGACAGCCAAGTTGAATCTCGTGGTTTTATCGATCGAGTGAGGGTACTGGAAGCAACTAGATGTTATCTGCGATCTGTGAGATAACAAGATGAGGCGTGGGACCGAAGTCGAGGCTAATCTTTCGAGCTTGAGCAGCCGAGTTCGTTCATTCAATGCGCGTGTCTCCTCCTCACTCGATTTGCCTCCTCTTAAACCATCAAGAGAGGGAAAGTTTCTAACTAACCATAAGCCCATTTCTTCCCCCTTCCCACAAACGTTTCTCTATTCATTTATTACCCCCCCCCCCTACTCCTACTCCTACTCCTACTAACTTCACCCTTCCACACGTTTTAATCGATTACTATTTTTTCTTAATCTATTTTTCTTTTGTGATTATTTATTTGTATTCTTTTTGTATTTCTTTTTCAAGCTGCTATCTCTGTGCCTCTCCTCTTCGTGCAGCAAAGACTCGTCAAGACTGGAAAAATATGAGTAAAAGAAAATCGAAACTGCACTGAATGTTTATTGTGAGAAGAAAACGCGAACGGGAAGCAACGTCTCGATCGTAAATCCACCTTTCTCTCCAACCAGAACGGAGAGAATTTCATTCTCCCAAGTCGCGATTATTACTCGTTTATTAATAATCGAGAATGCGCAATTATACTTATTTAAGAATTATAGGAACATTTCAACTTGGCAATATGTATGCTGTATATATACTTGAGAACCGTTTATCACAAATAAAACGACTATTAAACGAGGATTTCATTTCTAATTAAATTTATTTTATGAACAGAAATATAATATGAATTATATTTCTTTCTCTCGTTACTGTCTACTAGACAACACTTGTTGAGATTTCTTTTTCTTTTTCTTTTTTTTTTTGTTATTTTGTTAATTAGAAAAAAAAATAATTAAAATTTAAAACAAAATATATTTTATAAGATTAATCATTTAACGATAAACAAAATATATAAAAAACAAGGGGTGTGCTCCGCCACACGTTGCTGTGGCTCACAATCAGTCCGATACACACGTCTATAAGTCAACGAATTACCTAATATTGCAATTATAAATAGAGATATAAACTATCCTATCTTTCAAATTAAATGAAACTGCACACAGTGTGCAAAATTTGATTAAAATCGGTTTAATAGTTTAGGAGTCCATTGCGGACAAATAACGTGACACGTAATTTATATATATATATTATTAATATAATATGAATGATTATTTTCTAATTGCACATTTTACCAATAACGAATTGGTTTCTTGTCGATGGATCTTAAAAACAAAAAAAATTTATGAAACATACGCTTATCCAGGTGCAAGTTATGCACGCGAAACGTAGGATTAATGATCAATAAGAAAAAGGACGATAGAGCACATTGAGAATTAATTTACTTAAGAGGAAGCATGCATTCCTAAAAGTCAAACGAGATTCTATCTTTACGAGTTCTCTCGAAAGGTACTACTACGACACTGAACTACCTAAGACAGAAAGGGCTCGATTAATCGATATATATATATGTATGTATATGTATCTACACACCCATATTCTAACTAACAACGTTCCTCGACGATATCGCTTCCACTAGCAACGACGATGTTAATTAGTCTTAGGATAATTTATACCTAGCTTTCTCTATCTTTTTCTGATCACCATTTCTATCTTCTTCTTCTTCTTCTCTCTCTCTCTCTATCTCTATCTTTCTGTCTTATTTATTTCTTATTTTCTCACTTCTTCTTTAAATTCTTCTACAACTCCTTTTTTTTCTATTTTTTCATCTAATTTTCTTTACCAATTTTTTTGAAAATCGTAAAACGGAAGAACGTGAAACAAAAATAATTAATTAATTTAATAAAATTCAATATATAATTTAATTCTATATATTAATTAATTAATTAATTAAATTCTATATATATATATAAAAATTCAGTGTAACACAATATGTGTTTGTCCACTAATAATTCCAAAACTACTTAACTTATTTTAATGAAATTTATTTGATTTCACGTGATTTTTTCTAACTTAGCACATAGCACAATTTTTATTTAGAGGTTATCTAGGTTCTGTAAGTTTCTTTTAATAGATGACACTGTATTAGAATTCAATTATTTCGAAGCTTGATTTTCTTTGATGGTTTCACTTCTACCGTGTGTAATTTACACACATCTATTTTTATTTCTACTTTCTTATAGTCCCACCCTATTTTTTTCCCCAACACTCCTTTTACACAATTTTTACATCACAAAAAAAAACATATCTCGATCGATTTGTTGTTTCATTCAAGATCGTTTAATTACATTGAAAATAATAATAATAATGATTTGGTTGATAACGAAACCATTGAATATAATGGGAAGAGGAGAAGATACGGGGAAGGTGGAGGGGTTGTTTCATATGAAGAAGAAGAAGAATAACGATTTTCGATGGGAATGATTTTGATGTACCGAATATAGGATCAAAGTAACATCTCCGTGTCGATTCTCGGACAAGTCGAGCATGAAGGATCGTGAAACTCGAGCCTAAATTTCACCAAAGTCGATCACCACCGACGATCCCCATTCGTTGAGGTAAATAAGGTCATTCCGATGTAATCGCGGCCGGATAAAGCCAGTGTAGAATTGCCGGTGTATATAGATACTGATCCCATGTACCAAATACAAGCAGACACGTATAAAGGTACCGTTCAGATTGCCTGTCCAAGAAGAAGAAGAAGAAGAAGAATAAGAGAAAAATTTCACTGAAGAAGAAAAGTAATCTTCAGAAAGAAGGACCTCCAAGGAAGTTGGAATGGAGTTTGATCGATACGATCTCGATTAATAACTTACCGATCTATCGATTGAGTCAACAAAAAAAAAAAATCAAATAATCCCAAAAACAAAGCAAAACTCTCGATAATGATACCAAAGATAAATCGTTTCGATCGATTTAGATGACAGCAACATATTTTGCGAATAAAAATATAAAGTATGTAACGAAATAGATATAAAAGTAAGTAAATAAGTAAGACATCTTTTATTTGTTTCTTCATGATTTTCCACGTATTTATAATTTCGTTCATTACGTCGTGACTTGGACAATCATTTTTTGTTGATAACAAAAAAAAAGATATTACAAATATACTTGGTTGTCTGGCTACCTGCCTGCCTGCCTGCCTGCCTATCATAATCCAGTTTGACGTGAACGTAATGAGGAAAAAATTGCGCTTAACTGTTTTAACCGAGATCCTAAGTTATATACATGCATGTTGTAAATGTCTATGTAAATGTATATACCGAAAGCGGAAGTCGCGCCTAGGTGTGTAACTGGATAAAAGGAGTTTTAGTTGCGCAAGCGAGTTACGCTAGGTTAGTGAAACGCACGGCCCAAGGGCAAGGCGAGGTTTCTCAAAGTAACGGTACTCAAGGGGGATACCTAAGAGAGAGAGAGAGAGAGAGAGAGAGAGAGAGAGAGAGAGAGAGAGAAAGGGCTTTACAAAAGAACAGGGAATATATCCTTAAAAGAATATTTCCTTCCTATCCTACGTGATATACACAATGAAAGGGTAGGAACCCTGATAAAGGAAGGGCGCCTGTGCTTTCCGTGAGAGAACGCATTCATCGATTTTCAACCCTCTACTATATTTTTCTTTCTTCCTTGCAAACGTGATTACTAAGTATATATCAAATGTTAGAGTGTTAGATCCATTCTACTACAATATTTGATTACTGTAATTATGGGGATATGTTAGATTTTATTATCTTTTACAATTATATTGAATCGAATCCATTACTTGAAATTACAAATTTGTATTTAACACTAGATTTACGAACTGAAGCCAATTTGACTCATCTAAAAAATTTTTTTGATACATATATATATATATACAAAACTTAAATATTATTTTTTAAAATATATGTTGTTCTTAAGGTTACGTATAATGAAATACATTTAAATATTAATTTCTACCCTCTATTCAATCTTTCATTTAAACAATGT